GACTTAATTCAGTACTCCTACGGAGTACAATTAACGCTATAATTGTACTCCTCTCGACCAATCAGAGTCGAGTAATTTTGTTGAGTGTACTATAAAGTGGTTAATAGCTATTTCAAAAAATACGGCTTTGTCCGTTGGTGATGTGAATTTGAAATCTCGTCATAAAAATTAAAACTACTCTTTGCCAGACAGTCAATTTGCCAGAGCAGGTCGTCGCTCAAATCTGGTATATTTAGATTTAGAATGATCTTACTTGGCCCGTGCAACAAAGTTGTATAATAGGCCCTTTGTAGTTAACGGTCACGTGCCTCTACTGGACGTCAAAATTTAATTATGTTTTTATATTAAATTGGTGATTCTTTTTATGCACTTGTAAAGAACTGGTTGAAAAGATGTGTAACCAGTGTGTTACGAAATGCAGTTTTATTACGATCTCTCAAAACTGCAGGTTGTAGAAAGTTCGTTTACTCTCCAGTAAATTTCAACCATGGGAATCAAAGTGTTCATTCATTTACTCACAGTGAATTAATCAGCACGCCACCCGGCTAGCTCAGTTGGTAAGAGCGTCGGTCTGTTGTGCGGGAGGTCGTGGTTCAAGCCTCGGCCGGACCAACGTTCAGGGTCTTAAAAACAACTGAAGCCTGGTGCTGCCTTTGTAATTGAATCTTCAAATGGACAAGGACTTAAAACCGTAGGCCCTGTCTCCCAAACCCTTTCCTAAGCTACAGTAAATGGGGGACATAAAAGAACCTGTTGAACTATTCGTATAAGAGTAGGGGTTGGTCTCCCGGTTCAACAGCCTATCCCAATCTGGAGGCATTAATACTAACTTACTAACAAATCACTCATGATTGTAAGCTGCACGGCTGCTACAAGCGCCTTAATATGCATTGTGAGGCGCATTGAGACCATGTAAAATGCGCTATATAAGAACCCCGTTATGATGATGATGATGATGATGATGATGATTGTTTAGCTGCAAAGGGCCTATTAGTGAATAACAGTCAAAGTAATACAAAGTAAAACAATAAAAACAGCTTATGCGTTGACTATTCATTCACGGGTGAAGTAAAATCACCCTAACTCATTGTAAACTATTAACTGATTAAGGCCTCGTACACACTATGCCGGATAAATTTAATTCCGAATTTTTATTTATTCGGTTAGGCCTACCATCCACACTAGTCACTGTTCCACACTGAATCCGGACAGTTCTTCACCGAAAACGAATTTTTTCGAATACGGTCTCCAGAGTGGAACAATTCGAAAACGCCGGCTAGCCGTATTAGTGTGGACGGAGAACATTTTGTACCCGAAATTTTTTTAATATGATGACGTCATGATTGTCATGGGAGCATGGCGGAAAGGCTAAAAATTCACCGCGGGCTCAATTTCAGCTTCGATGCACATGCTCAGATGTGTAATGAAGCGTTTTTGCCGCCTCTGATCGGACTGGTGTGGACTCGAAACATTTTCTCCGTTTTCATGTGTGGACGGATAACTTTTTTTTCGGCTTCGGTGTGAAAGTTGCGGATTCAAATTTATTCGGTAAAGTGTGGACGGGGCCTAAGACGAAGTAACAAATTCACAGCTTACGGCCCTCAATTCATTTTGGTCTTAGATTTCAAATCTTCGACCAACAACGTTTGTTTGAAATGGACCCCTTGCATGTGACGTCATTTATTTTACAAGCTCGCGTGATGATTCAGGAAATACTTTCAATCAATGATAAATATATTCAAGATAAGTCCTACCTGCTGCTTGCTCTTTGCCCTTGGAATATTAACCATTCGGTGTGAATCAAGTGCTTGCACTTGCCTTTGAATGAAAAAAAGAAAGAAAGAAGTAACCTCACATCATATCACCTCACCTCACCTCGCCTCGCCTCACCTCACCTCACCTCACCTCACCTCACTTCACCTCACCTCACCTCACCTCACCTCACCTCACCTCACCTCACCTCACCTCACCTCACCTCACCTCACCTCACCTCCCATCCCATCCCATCCCATCCCATCCCATCACATCCTATCCCATTCCATCCCATCCTATACCATCACCATCACATCGCACCACATCACATCATCATCACATCACATCACATCACATCACTACAAGTTACTAACCTGTTTCTTCTCTTGTATAGTTGGTACATCTTAAACGAGCCAAATATCACGAATAAAAAGGCAACACAGCTAAAGGATAGAATGATAATCGCGGTATATAGCACTAAAAAATAAAAGCCAAACAACAGTAATCATTTATCTTCATCATTGATTGCTAAAAATGTGTTGTGATGGGATGGGATGGGATGGGATGGGAGGTGAGGTGAGGTGAGGTGAGGTGAGGTGAGGTGAGGTGAGGTGAGGTGAGGTGAGGTGAGGTGAGGTNAGGTGAGGTGAGGTGAGGTGAGGTGAGGTGAGGTGAGGTGAGGTGAGGTGAGGTGAGGTGAGGTGAGGTGAGGTGAGGTGAGGTGAGGTGAGGTGATGTGATGTGATGTGTTTCACATTTGCAGCAACTCGTTTAACATGTGATGCGACGTGAAATTAATGTCACAAATCATGTCACAAAACACAGAAACTAAACCTACTTGCATCTTTAGTTGATGTTTTCCTTCCAAAGAAAGAATCCAGTTTGTCTGTTGATCCTAAAGAAAAAAGCCAGCTTTTAGCATCTTATGTTCAATGATGCCTAGCTTTGTGGATTCATAGTGGAGGGAGAAAAAAGCAGCTCAGTAGGGTTTACGTTTATTGACCTTGGAAAGATTACGGTCGTGATGAAAAATACTGCAATTTTTAACGAAACGAACTGTAATAACGGAGGAAAACAACTCGCAAAAGCATAACACAGAAACGTTTTGAAACCTTGAATTTGATTTGATTTGAGGGACTAGCACGAAAATTATCCAAATTTTAATTCAGCTTAAACCTTACTGGAATAACCCTTAATGGTCTAATAATCACTGGTAAAAGTTTTTTTCCTGATATTCGAATGGGAAGTATTATATTTTTGCGAATTTTTAAAGGAGTCTGTGACGTCATACACTCGACACTACTGAAACGATCGCTCCGTACATTTCTTTGTATTTTGTAATCTAATAATCTAGTAGTCAAATAATCACTGGTTAAAGTTTTTTCCTGATATTCGGATGGGAAGTATTATATTTTAACGAATTTCTATAGGAGTCTGTGGCGTCATACCGCTCAACACTAAAGATTGCTCCGTACATTTCTTTGTATTTCGTAATCAAAATATCTTCTAGTTTTATATTCAGTATTGAAGAAGAGATACCATTATATAATTCTAACCACAAGTTATGTACGTTAAAAGCCCAAGCGAACCTTTGGGCTTATAGAAATAAAGTAAAACATGAAGTTATTTACAAAGAAATTTATGGATCGATGTTAAGTGTTGAGTGTATGATGTCACAGACTCCTATAAAAATTCGCAAAAATATAATACTTCCCATTCGAATATCAGGATAAACCTTTAACCAGTGATTATTAGACTTTTAAGGGTTATTCCAGTAAAGTTTCAGCTGAATTAAAATCTGGATGATTTTCGTGCTAGTCCCTCTTTAACTATCCGATTTAACTACGTTTAATTAACCAAACAAACCACAAATTATGACCATATAAAATATACTCGAAAAAACTAGTTTTTATGAGATCAACCCCATTATTATCTTCATGATTGAGAAATGTTTAAATTTACGGTGTTGGGAATAATCGGGCATGATTCAGAAGTACTCACCTTGTTGAACTAGGAAAAGAAGGAAGAATGAAATGGCTAAAATATTG